CTTCGGACCCTGCCAGAACCGGGGCTTCCCCAGCCTCGGGGTGCCCCAGACAGCAGTTTGGGAAGGGTGAGGTGGGCAGCACGTCCCCCTGTCACAGCCAAAGGCACTTGGCAACGGCTCCTTGCCCTCCTTTCGCCAAATATCTCAAATAAATCCCCTCAAAAATAGTCTTACGAGGCCAGAAGAACCACCCCACTGCAGTTCAGCCCCTCCACTCATCCCCCTCCCACCTCAGAAAGGGTTCGAAAGGCTGAAAACCGCATCAGCTGCCTCTTGGATGTATTGAATGTTTCGATGCAGTGAACGTATAAATAAGGGTTGTTGGGTTGTTTGGGTTTTTTTCATGTCAGAATATTTATATCTGCCTTTTGCAGCAGGCCATGCTTTACCATCTCCAGCAAAAAAGAGATTCAAGTAATGAGAAAGATATAGTTCGTGAAGTTATTTGCACTTGATTGAAAGAAAAGAAAAAATGTATCTGAACTTTGTAAAAAGAAATGTTTGCATTTTGTATTGTCTTTTTTTAATTATTAAATGGAATTTCTTGGTGTTGTGTTGATCTTTCAAAAACTGGCTCTGATGATTATTTTAAAGGTTTTTTAACAGCAGGATCCAAAGCTATTTTCATTGTGTTGTTCTCTCAGATGCTAAGTCAAGCTCTTTTCAAGGGTTTTGTTGGTTTGTGCTTTTTTCTCCCCTCCCCAGCAGCTTAAATCCTACACCCTGCCCTAAACGTGCCAGTCATTACACAATGTATTTATTTATATACATTAATTAGATGCAACATATCTCATTTTTAGCCCAGAACATGGGAGTTGGGCAGGGGCTAGCTCAGAGGGAAGCAGAGGGGATGGAAAACACTCTCTACCTCAACCCCAAAGCCCACCCCATGCCCTTGAAGTCCTTGGGACCCCGGGGGTAACTGGGACCAGCTGGAAGACACCCATCAACAACCAGCAGCAGCTGGGCAGGAGCCCGTGGCCCCAGTCATTGGGTGTTCGGGGTAACAGCCTATAAATGTGAGTGTCCCCAGCCCAGCCCACTCCCCTGGAGCAGGGAGGCTGCTGGGATGGGGCAGGATGGCTTCAGGCAACCACAGCACCAGGTAAGGGCTTTCTGGGGGTGAGCTGGGGAATCTGGGGGCTACAGCACGACTGCCGAGCGCTTCTACCTGCACCAGGCACCTTCGGCTGTGGAAACCGCCTTGGTTTTTCCTTGTTCTGGATGGGAGTGGAGCTGTTCCCCCTCCCTGCCCTCCTCCTCTGAATGCAGGATGAGGCTTCCCTCAAAAGCTCCGCTTCCCTACCTGCTCAACGCTTCCCTATCTGCTCAACGCAGACCTTTCTCGATACAAGGAAGCGCAACCCTTCCCAACAAGTTTTTGAGAAAGACAACCAACCACGCAGCTGTAGGTGTCCTAAAAAGTTTATTGCTGCCCCAATTAGTAGAGGCGCTGGGGCTTCCCCATGGTGCTCTTGATATAGAGAGCGCGCACGTTCTGCCAGTTCTTCTTCAGCAAGGACACGAGGAAGTTGATGGCCAGGTGGATGTTGTAGACGAGCTCGTCCTCAGTCATCTTCACATGACCGACGGCCACAGCCAGACAGAGCACCTGGGGGACACGGACACCAAGGTCACTCACTCAGGTAGAGGTTTTGTGAGGAGACCAAAGATTACAGACAAGTGACCCACAAACCAGCCCAGAGCTGGATCTAAACTCATCAGGGCATCAAATTATCTCATGTTCCATCAGCTGGACACAACTTCTCCAGCCTGTCCATGGGTGAGTTTTTCCACAGAGCACACAGCTCCCACAAACACATCTGGAGGTCACCTCTGGGTAGCTGTGGCTTCCTCAGAGCACAAAGGTGACTTCAGAGAAGGCAAGGAGCACTGTCCAGACACGGGGAAGGACATGTGACACACTGTGCTGAACTGGAGCGGGAGCAGAGCTCTGCTCCCACACCCCGCTCGTTAGGCAGCGCTGGCACGTGAACTGCTAACCCAGTGCGGTGAGACAACGAGCTCCAAACTTCGCTGCAAAGCGTGGCGCTGGCTTCGTTTTGTTTTGGGTACCAGCCCTTTCTTTCCACACAGAAGACGCGCGGAGAGGCCAAGCCTCTGCCCGCCAGCCTCCCCGAGAAGCTTGTAAGTCAACGCTCCCCATGGGCTGAAGACAAAAGGATTTACGAGCAAGCTGACAGGCTCAGTTACTTAAATGCTCAAGCATTTGCAAACTATCACACTGGCTGTGTCCTCCCGGTTGTTGTGCCCCCAGGCCCAGATCAGCTGGAGTCCAAGGATGCACCTCAGCTAGCAGAGCTGTTAATTCTGAGCAACACCCAAGAGTCACATTTAGACCGCTGACATGAGATTAAAATGCCTGAACGGGGTTACTTTGGTTTTAGGGAGTCAGCTCGCCTTAACGTCTCTCGACAGTGAGAACAGGTACCCATGGAGCTGCCCTGAAGTTCACTCTCAAGTCCCCAACTCGCCTCTAGCGAAGCACCGGGGTGTACACAGACCCAAAGGGGGTACACAGGCCAGACCCTGCAAGCGTCACCCACTTATTGTTAATTGTGCTCAGCATTGAGACATCAAGATCATCTCCTAATCATCTGCTTCAAGTTCTTTCAACCACAGAGCAATTACTCCTCCCTTCCAGCCAGGAGCCAGCTCTGGATAGTCTCCGCAGCGGAAGAGACTGTCAGCCTGTCACCGGCTGCTGTTTTAGGGAGATGCTCGAGGGACACCTACAGCCCAGACCAGAGATCGCAGCCACGTGTGAGTGGCCACTCGTGACAAACCACCCCCAGGTACGGAGCTGCCTTGGAGAGGAAAAGCCTTGCTTTTACCTTCTTCATCTGAAATTTGATGGTAGATTTGACCTCATCCACCTTGGCCACCAGGTTCTCGTTGTGAGTGAGGAGAGAAGGGAATTTGCCGGCTTTGTTCAGACCCGGACCCAGGATTCGAGGGATTTGCTTGATCAAGGACTCAGAAGCCAGGAAAGCATCGTACTTCTTAGCTGTGGGGAGAAAAATGATGTAGGCAAGACAAACACCCAGCCTGAAACCAACAGCTCAGCAGAAACGCAATGCTCCTTTCCCTCATGTGCACATTTCCAATTTCCCACAGTCCTGCCTAGCTGAACCTGAGCTGGTTGTGCTATTATAGTAGAAATTGCTCCTGTCCTAACAGCCAAACCTGCCAGAAGCCAGCTTTGAAGCCTGACAACGCGGTCCTACGGACACGGCTCATTTTCCTGAAGGAACTGGCATTTATGGAGCCACAGGTGACCGACGCTGCATTCCCAAGCTCTCCAGGACCCTCCCATCGCAGTCTGTGAACGTGTGGATCGATGGATCCCACAGAGGCTCAGCCAGGAACAGCTTCTGTCATTTCCTGACTGCATGCAGTTCCATGGCTAACTACGGATGGAGTGGGAAGTTTTTCTTGTCTGCTTAAGATACGTATCAAAGTGACTTTGACTTCGCAGTGAGGGAAGGATTTTCTCTCTTATCATGTAAAAATAAGCAAATTTACTTCCATTCATTCAAGTACTGCAGGACTAAATCAAACTTTTGCCTCAGCTTTTTTCTGCTATTGCTGCCCTCCAGCTCCCTATCTGGTAAAGTGAAGAACAGCAGCTGAGGGTGAAATTTTCAGAGAGGTATTGAGAATTTTCCTACATTCCTGCCTTCCTGAGGACAGCAAAGGACCTCACTCCTGGAGGGCTGACCTGTCAGACCTTCTAAACTCCTGTTTGATCTTCTTCGAAGCTTCTAGACAGACTTCTCTGGAAGTTCCCTTGAGTTAAGCATGACATGGAAATCTGAGCACAGGGAAAACCACCCAGCCCTCTCAAGCTGGCCAGAGTACTTGGAGCCCCATCGACACCACCACTCACCCAGCTTCTTCACCAGCTTCTTGTTTTTGTTGAGCTTCTTCAGAGCCTCTATGTCCATGTGAGGGATGTCAACGGCTTTGGCCTCATCGCAGTGCTGCTGGTCGCCCAGCAAGCAGACCGAGAATTTGGGCCGTGGAGTTGACTTGAGCCTGGGGGGGGCGAAAGGTCTGAATTACTACGAACCGCCAGCGCCACGCACGTTTTGACGGGAGCCACCACGGAGATACCTTACCGCAGCGCGCCTGGGAATCGTCCTCCACAGCTTCTAACCTGCCTCCTCCAGCAGGTCGGCGGGGACAGCCCAGAGGCCTCCCACACC